AATCAAATGAGAGTGGTTTCCAGAAGACAAGGAAGAAGGAAGTGCGTTTCAAGAAGAAAGAATTGGTCAACCGTATCAAATACTGGTAGGTTGAGCAAGATGAGGTCTGAAAAGTAACTGTTCAGTTTGGCCAGGTGAACGATATTCAGGAGCAGGGGAGAGGAAAGATTGATGGGAGTGAAATAAAGAGAGAATGGAGGGAGACATGAATATAAACAGATCTTTTAAAGAAGTTTGCTGTAAGAATCAGAGAAATTGGGAATGACTCAGAGTAGGTTACTCCCAAACAGGGGAGGGGAATAAAACATTTATATGCTAACGATGATGATCAAGCAAGAGAGGAAGGAACTTGATGAGGTCAAAGAGGTGAGGACCGTGGGAGCAGTGACCCCGGGTAGGAGAGTGAGGAAGAGCTCTGTGTGGTGCAGACAGAGGTAACAGGTAGCTTCTCCACCATCGCAGGGCAGATTCAGGCGCCAGTAGTGAGTGAGCAGATGTGTGGAAACACACGAAGTTTCTCTTACGATGACTCTGCTTCGTCAGCGAAACAGGAAGCAAGATCTTTAGCTCAGAGTGAGGAGGTATTTGAGGAGCGAAGAGTCATCCAGAGAGTGGGGGCATGAGATCCGTGGGAAATACGATAACCGGGCGGCACAGGGCTCCCGCCTGAGGCCGCTGCTCAGGGACCGGTCGTCATGGGTGCATATGCATCACTGCGTGTTCCACTGCCCAGGCACAGGCGTGGAGGGGGTTGACAGTTGTATTTAGCTCAGCTTTGGATTTTACCGGCAACGCAAAGCCGTATTATCTTAGTATATGCCTTTGTACCAGGGAGGCAGGACTGGAAGGTGTACGAGGGAGTGATTTTAATGATTGACGATGGAAACCCAAGCCGAGTAAGGGGAGAAATAACTCCGTGAGGGGCGAGAGACAGTGATAAAGTAATGGGTTCCGTGGATTTTTTTTTTTTTTTTTTAAATCCCAGTGGGGTCAAAAATTGCTGGTGTTACTACTAAAGGCAGTGAGCTGGAAAATTAGGTGCTGTCTGAAAGTGACTTTATGAAGAAATCGCAGTCAGTGCTAAGAACAGTATCTAAGGTATGGTGCGGAGAATGTTCAGCGAAGCGAGAGTAAAGACTAAGATCATGGAAAGGACTGAAAAGCCAGGGTGGTTAAAGAATCATCAGCGTGGATGTTGAAATCGTCAGATTGGTGATAGTCGTGTCTAAGAAGCCCGGGGATCTAAGGATGGCTGTGGTGGGGAGCCGCTGGTGTGGTGGGCTGGCATGGGCTTGAAGGCCAGGGCGGGTTTGGGGCGGAGGAATCAGTCATGGGAGGCAGCACCCGCCCCACTTCCAGGCCTGGCTACAACAGCGGGTAGGAGAGAAACGGCCCCTCCTCTGAGAAGATTTGAAGGGAAGCAGAGTCCTCAGAAAAATTCCAGATTTCTGTTAGAGCACGATGCTGAAGGATCTTCAGGGAAAGAGCTGAGGATGCAGGGAATTTTGCTAAGGATGGATCACGAACTTCAGAGGGCACAGCATTGTAGATGGTTTGAGAGTTTGGGGAGGTGTGAGGCACAGGATCAGATTTCGAGGTGGACAGGCAGTTTGGTGGGGAGAGTCAAGGTGCCGAGGGGTCTGGGGCTTCCTGCGTTAGCTGTGAGGAACAGGAGCAAAGGCACGATGGGGTTAGCCCTCAGTCTCTCTTGGGCAACTGTGGGAGAAGGGAGTGGAGGGGTCTTTCCAGACGCTTGCACAGGGAGCCCCAAGACTCATTTCTGCATCAGGTGAGGTTAACTTAATTCATAAAACATAATCCCAATAAAGAGTGGAGGTTTGGTAAAGCTCCTCTGTCATCCTCTCTTACACTCACTGATAGGACCTGGTGTCGTAAGTGTTTGATCTCTGTTAAAGAGAAGCTGTCTTAACTCTTAATTTGTTTTTCATACTTAGCATTTTACATAATATTTTAGTTTTTATGATTTATGCCAATTAGTTATTAAGTGCTTTTTTTTGCCTATAAAGCCTCATGATTTCTCCGTTATCATTGTTCTCTGGATAAGAAAATGATTATTTTGTAAGTTTTCATGTAAATTGTGTGTGTTTCTTGGCAGGCGCTTTTTCACGGGAAGTTTATTGACACTGGCTTCTCTTTGCCCTTCTACAAGCGCATGCTAAGTAAAAAACTGACTATTAAGGATTTGGAATCTATTGACACTGAGTTTTATAACTCCCTTATCTGGATAAGGTTTGAAGATTTTATCTTTCAATTAAGTGTTTTTTCTTGAAACCAATTTATGTCTCTTGTTAACTAGTGGGTGTATGTTTATGTCACCCAGAGACAACAACATTGAAGAATGTGGCTTGGAAATGTACTTCTCTGTTGACATGGAGATTTTGGGAAAAGTCACTTCACATGACTTGAAGCTGGGAGGTTCCAATATCCTGGTGACGGAGGAGAACAAGGATGAGTACATTGGGTAAGGAGCTCGACTACTCGCCCCGCCTTTCTGGAACCACTGGAGCGTGTCAGAGATCCTGCCTCCCTGTCCCTCTGTCCCTCGTCCGCTCCTCCGGGAAGATGCTCCACATTCGTTCCTTCCTTGACTTAATCCTTTTCAATCGTTTTCTCTCTACTTGGTCTTCCTGTCAGTTTATAAACATGCTCATTTTCACTGCTGAAAAA